GCTCCAACCACAACAACAGCTGCTCCAACCACAACAGCTGCTCCAACCACAACCACTGCTGCTCCTACCACAACTACAGCTGCTCCAACCACAACAACTGCTGCTCCAACTACAACCACTGCAGCTCCAACCATAACAACAGCTGCTCCAACCACAACCACTGCAGCTCCAACCATAACTACAGCTGCTCCAACCACAACCACAGCAGCTCCAACCGATTCAACATCTGCTCCAACCACAACAGCAGCTCCCACCATCACCACATTTGCTCCAACCACTACAATATCAACCACAATATCTAAACCAACCTTAATGCCATCTACTCAAAACCAAACCACAGCTATTCAAACAATTCCAGCTACTGAGGCAAATACCACAACTGAACCTCCTGCTCCAGTGTTTCATGTTGGAGTGGTTGTTTTCGAACCATTTGATGAAGATCTCAAAGATGAAAAGAGCCCAAAATTTAAGAATCTTGCACAAAGGATCACAGCAGTAGTAAGTGCCATAGTAAAATGTATCATTGTGGTCATCTTATCAGACATTCAATTCAAATATTCAGTTAAACAATATTCTCATCATTTTACTTAATCTTTTGTCCTACAGTTTGACATGCTCTACAAGGAAGCTTTTGGAGCCCTCTTCATCCGCAGTTATGTCATTGCATTTAGGTAAGATTCATTATTTATTTTTTTACAAATAACAAAATGGATATATGTTTTTCTGAACTTGTTTGTTTTTCATGTTTATGTTGCAGAGTTCCTTTAGCATCCCGAATTCGAATGAATGCCACTGAAGCAGAAGTTGGGCTTGAGTTTAACAAAACCACACCACTTGTGGAACTCCCCAGGAACGAAGATGTACAAAAAACATTAGCAGCTGCTATAGACTCACACTCTAACAACACTATCTTGAATGTGCCATTTTCACCTGGTTCTGTCCAAGTATTACGTAAGTAAACATGGTCTAACATTCCACAGAAACAGAGCAATGTAAGTTTTTATTTAAGCAGCATTGTCATTTTCCTTTTCTTTTTCTGACAGGCACACCTTTGCCAACCACACTGCCCACTACAAATTCAACAGAAACTACCATCGCTCCAAACTCAACCACAACTCCATCTTCTACAGTTAAACCAACAACCAAAATACCTCCAACTGTGGAGGCAACAGTCACAAGGAAACTGACTTTTAGGTCTCTTGGTGAGACCTTCACCACTGACTTGCTGAACCCATCATCTGCCGCATTTAAAAATCGAGCTGCACTTATAAAGTCAAACGTAAGTCTTATTTCGGCTTATAGTAAAATATTTCTCAAAGAGCTTTAACAAACAACACTTTCAAGTTGATATTTGTTGTGAGACAGAACCATAAAGCTGTACAAACATGTCTAAATTATTTTGTATTCAAAACATTAAAATTGAACAAAAGAAACAAATTTCTATACCACAGGAGTGCAAGGGTTGTTAGAAAAAAAACTCTTGCCCTGTATGGTGTAGATTTATTCCCTGATTTAGAATTAGAACATACTTTCTGGATCCTGAAATGGAAGCTATTTATTTGTTGACAAGCCTTTCCCATCTAAAGTGTCAAATACTGGTAAATATAAATAAAAATTTACGTGATATAAACATTTAAAATACAATTATAAGTGTCAAATTATGAATAAAAAAATTAACAACTATGTATGCTTTTATGGATATATTTGTATCTATAAATAAGTCCAGGGTAAATGTAATCTTAAACTCACTCAGAACTGGGTGTCATATAGTCTGATGACACTTTTAAAATATCAAATTATGATTCAAATTGTTTAGTTATACAATTATCCTTTAACCAACTTCTGTGGAGCCTTGTTGGTTAATTATTTATTTAAAGAAACACACTTTGTGATATGCAGAACAATAAATTGGTTAAAGCGATGTTTCTACAGTTTGTGAATTCACATTTTCCTTTAGCAAAAGTTAGTAATATCTAATATCAATGAAATACCACACATACACAAAAAGTCATTCTTTATCATGATTTTTTTTCCCAAACTAACATAGGAAAAATTGATATTTGATGTAATTTCAGGATTTGGATGAATGATACACATGTATAAAAATTTCAACTATAATTTAGAAAAGATTATTTTCTTTGTCTTCCTGCAGCTTGAACCGCTCTTCCAGAGAGAGTTTTCTACGTTACGCGACTTCATTGTAACTTCATTCAGGTATGATTTGCAGACAATTTTAAACATTGTTCAATATACACTTGGACAAATTAACTGATATTTTGTTTCATTTTTAGCAACGGATCAATTATCAACAACATGGACCTTAAATTTTCAGCAGCGTTTCTACCGACCAACATTCAAATTGCAGAGGTTTTGCTGAAAGCAGCTTCGAACGTCACAGCTTTCAACATCGACACCGCTTCTATTCTTGTGGATGACACACGTAAGATAAATTACATTCAAATAAAAATAAGTTAGCATTGTAATGATACAAAATCTGCTATATAACAGAGGAGCATTTTTTTTTTTTCAAATAAAGTCATGTGTCTTGTTTTCCTCACTTGCAGCGGTATCAAGTGGAGTAAGCCACAACATCAGCCTCATCACTGCACTCAGCATGGTCCTGCTGTCATGGCTTCTTTCAAACCAGCAATAACGTCTCTGCTGGTTTCCAGAGAATGATGTGCTGGAAAATATCAAATCTTACTGGTGTGAAGAAGGACATTGTAAAAATTTACTCACGACACTTTAAAACTTTAAAAACATTTATTGAAACTTGATGCTGTATAACAGTGACTGTGTTTATTTGGATTGTCAGTCTATTCAAGTTTGTTCCTATCAGTTCTTTCTTATTTATTTACATAAACTTGATTATTATGGTAAATTAATATAATTTATAATTTTGAAAGGTAACATGAAGGACTATTTAATGAATGACTATTTAGGTCAGAGACTGTTTAGCTAATCCTTAAGATTTCTCTCTCAATGAATATTGTAAAACTGTCTGATCAATGTCCCGTATGATTGTCTAGTTTTTCTTTTTTCTTTTTGTTATATTTATCACACATAAATATTCTGTACTCAGTATTCTGAAAGTATTTTGCTAATTTTCTTTTTTTTCTGTATGACTATCAATATAATAAAGGTAAACTTAATTTACCAGAATGTCAAGGTGAGGTGGTTGTTTTCTATATGGAGTCAGAGAGCAAAAAATGAAAGAAAAACAAAAATGTCCCTTTTTTACATGATGTTCAGCTCCAGATTGCAGAGCGCTTGGGGTTGAAATTTAGCCCGGGACTTGATTTTTATCTGTTTCTAAAACATAATCAGTGTTTAACGTACATGGATTTAATGACACGATTAAAAATAACAAAAGTTTATGAAAAAATCAGATTATAAAAATTAAAGCAAATTTAATGGAACAAAAAAACAACCTCAACAGCTTCACAGAACTATTACATTATGAAGGGAAATTATTAATCTTTAAACTTTAAACACAACAGGACAACTATGTATAGCAATTTTTTTCAGATATATATATATTTTTAACTTTAAACACAGGCTTTCCCCTAAAAGGTTTTCTCTTACATTAAAGAAATTTTATTGGTCAGCCAGTAGGGACTGATTTTATTAATTAGCCTTACATGTGTAATTATCAATACTGTGTGTGCCCTGAACACAAACACAAACACATGGAGGCAATGATCGCTGACCTGCTGTAGTCCTGTTGCTTGGTCACCACTGACCTCCTCCACACACGGTTAACCCTAAAATGTGTAAATAGGCTGCATTTGCATGTGTCCTGCAGACACGTTTTGAGTTTTTCTGCCCCACCCACCTTTTTCTTCTTTCTTTTTGAATTTGAACGTCACAGTGCAGTTTTAGGTGAGCAAGATCACACCCCTACCAATGCTCAAACAACTACCTCCAACAACCACAGTAGCTCCAACAACTACAACAGTTACTCTAAAAGCAACCAGTGTCACTCAGTCAACTACTGGTACAAGAATAGCCACAATTTTGAAAAAAAAAACAACAAAAAAACAAATACATCTTCCACTGTTGCCCAACCAACTACCACTAAGAGAGCAACCACAGATGTTCCAGCCACTGCTGTGGATGCCAGGGCAACTATGGTTGCACTTAGGCAAGTTATAAAGGTCTTACTTTATTTCGTGCGATCACTTTGAAATGTATTTGCATCATTTCCTGTGCTCGTGTAAAACTCCCTTTATTCGAGAAAACGGTTCTACTTCTGTTCAGAACAAGTAAAAAATATGTTCTGAACAGGGAGTTACTTTTGACAAACTTTTGTGTCAAGAAGTGGGATTTCATTTTTGCATGCTGGGAATTGAGAGTGCTCAAAATTTTATTATCAAAATTGTGGCATTTTTATTAATATGATCATATTTGCAGTCTATGAATGTGGTTGAAAGTGGGGAAGAGACCTGGCAGTGTTTTGATGATGTTGCACTTTCCCACATAGACGGGGCATAGAAAGCTGGCTGAGTGCACACAAAGTGAGTTTTAATGCCCTTGACAGATACCAAAAAGTTATTGTAATTATTTAATTTACGTTATTCTTTATCCTTTTCATCCACACACAATGAATTAATACATCAATAGATAAACAATATTTGGTTTACTGTAAATGGTAAGAACAGGAATTCCTCAGGAACATTTCGCTGACTAATGAAATCAAACTTTATTTTCCTTTAGCTGTACTCTACCCAATAGAGAAAATAAAAGTGTTTCTCCAGAATCCAAACAGTTAAAAACATCCCCATCAAGATCCACCCCAACACACACATGCACAAACACACACGCATACACACACGCACACACACATCCTAAAGGCATGCCAAATAAAGTTACAGTAAAATAATACTTAAAAAATATATTTTTAATTAATTTACAAATAAAAAAAACATATTGCAGAAAAAATATAATAGTTTAAGAAACAAAACAGCTGATATAAAACAGGAATGAATTGTTTCTTTTGACACCGTCAGTTTTGAACAAGTCAAAACAGAATGCAAACCTCAACACTGAATGCAAAGTAAAATGCAAAACTGCATTGCTGTTTTGTTTTCAGCTGACATAATTTTCCTATGTCCCTGTTCTGTGTTTCTGACTTGACCACAGGAATTATAAAGCAGCAGAAGCAATTTTATGACAAACAATAAGATTGTATAAGACTATATGTACAAAACAAACTGTTATACTATTGTTTTTTTTTTTTGTTCAACTTTGTTTTCTAAAGTTTCTTAAGAAAAATTAAGTCTTAAGTGTACAAAAATATTGTGTAAACAAAATGAAGCATAGACATGAATACAAATTGGAAGACTTTCTTCAGCCACAGCATCGGAGCCCACCTCAATAAACTCCATCTATGACTCCATCTGTTCACCAGCAGAGCTTCAACCCAGCTCCATCCATTCTTCTCCACCCTTGTCCTTCCATCTTCTTCAGACTGCCATCTTCTCCTTAGCCTCCTCCGCCAGTGTCCGGGCTCTGAGGGGAAAGACATCTCTAATCCTCATCCTAAGCTGCTCATCCACGCCTATAGCATTTCATAGCGTCCATATCTTCTGCCGGACGCCATAACTTTAATCCATTCATGTTCATTAAAACTTTCTAACTGCAGCTTTGTCTTTGTGTTACTCATCCAGTTTTGCTGGGTTTTCCATTTACTTGACTTAGGAAACATTTCTATCAGGACTCTGGGTTCTTGGGTTGAGATCCAGTTGAGGACAAGCAACTGGTGAAGGTGGATATTAACCTTTCCTTTCACCCAGGAAGAAACCTAAGGGGTAGTATGAGAGACAGAACAATTAAAAAAGAAAATATATTTATGTTTTTAAGTTAATAATTAAAAACATTCCATGAATAGGAAGCAGCAGAAGGATATGTCAGAGTGGGGGAAATTATTAATATATTTTCAAGCAGCAGGAACTTACAAATATTACAACCTAACCTGATCTATGTGAACTATAAGTGCAGTGAAAAATACAGATTTTATGCCCCAAACTTCAAAGCCGAAACTGTGAGTACTTCATAAGCAACAACTGGGAGATCTATAAAAAACCAGAACATTGAATCTGGAGGTTCTGATGCTGAGCAAGCATCAGGTGACAGTGGGGATGACTATCTCAATCTAACAGAAGAAAACCTCCAGCAGTATGAGTCTGACAGGAACAAGACATTAAACAACACTGGGCCACACGTCTCTGTATGGAAACTGATCAACCACATATGGTGAAGCTGGAGAGTGTGATCTGAAGACAATATTCAAATATTTTCAGGTGACTTGCAAGAAACTTGTTTGAATAATGGCTGTAGGGAGAAAGTTATTTTTGTCCAAGTTACATGAGGGGTATTTATATTGGTGCCTCTGAGAGTTTGGCCATTGTTTCACTGGACAGAGAAGAATCTGAGCAAGGAAGCCAAGTGTCTATTGATTAAGTAATTATTTCCAAACATTTGTTCATCAATGAGGTCTAGATAAGAGAAATACTAGTAAAAAGACATTAGCATATGTCAAAAACATTTCAGCTTTTGTTTTTGGTGAGTACTTTTGTTCATTTAGTTCCACACTGTACATATTTTTGTATCAAGTTTGTTTAGAACAATATTGTTTGAGCTTCGACTTTAATATGTAAACGAGGACATGGAAATCTCCTAGTTGGAGATGCAGAATTAGCTATTTATTGTTAATGTTTAATTAATCTTCATCATCTTTGTTTTTGTTTTTTTACTCATTTGTAGGTTTAAATTTAAACATGTTGATCACGTCTAACCAGCAATACTTAACTCTGGAACTGTGTATTCTGCAGCAATTCACAGTTCCAGATTGAGTATAATTAACAGTTAATTAAACACAATTTAATCACTTATATTTTGTTAATTATATTTTTCAAGTGATCGACTCTTCTGGGTTTTTTTTAAGCAAACATTTGCCCACTCTCACTGCGACCTTTGTTCATAGCTATGCCATGATTCTGAGTGCTTAGTTTTTCATCTATATTTTTGTATTTTGATGAGTTCCTTGTTAATCTGCTTCATGTTTGAGTTTATAACTCATGAAAAATGTCCCAATGCTCACACTGCACTCTATCCCTGTCTGTGAAGTCTGTACTCAGTCGAAGTGCAATAAGTGTACAAAACTGCACAAAAATTGGGACAACACAAAGTTGTGTAATTATGTTATTATTACGTCTTTGTATGGAAACTCACCAGCCACTATTGTAATGCTAGAAAGTTTGACCTGAAGACAATACTCAAATATTTTCTGGTGACTTACAAGAAACTTGTTTGAATAATGGCTGTAGGGAGAAAGTTATTTTTGTCCATGTTACATAATGGGGTATTTATATTGGTGCAACTGAGAGTTTGACCAATGTTTCACTGGATACATAGCGGGGATACAGAGCAAAACTGTATCCCCACTTAAAATTATATCACTACTTTACATTTGAATCTGCCTTTTCATTCAAAACGTCACATGCAGCAGTGAATTGAGGGGGAAACTTTTCACAAAAGTCTGGTTGGATGTGGGCAGAAACAAAACAAGTAATGTCCAAATTTAGGCAAAGAAGCTAAAGCCTCCAACAAGAAGGTGCTGAAAATGTTATTGTTTTACTCGATAGTCTCCTATGTTGTCCTCTTTTTACAATATATTAAGTAATCAAAACTCCAAATTAAGTCAAATGTTTTATAAAACTGTAGTAATTTGACAGAAAAGGTGAGAACGATTCCATATACCTTAAAGTCAAACACATCTCTTATAATGTGAACTAAATTCTTGTACAGCTTTAGACTAACTAGTCAGAAAGATTAATCTACAGAAGAACCTCAGTTTATCAGTGAATATTTTTCTTCTTTATATTTGGGTGGTCTAATCCAAACGTTTTGCATGCATGTTTTGCATGTCATTTGCCTTTCTGATTTCAAGGCAAACATGAA